CTTTTTTTAAAAAAATTATTTTTAAAAACATACACATACAAAACATAAAAACAAAAAATCATCTTCCATTTTATATACATACAGTGTGTCAATTGGTTACAAATCTTTTGTGCTATCCTTTTGTAGTCATTTACTCACAGTTTATATCAGTTTTCACATTGTCAAACTAACATGTGCTAATATATTTATCAGTTATTAGTTATCCAGAACTAAACTATTGATTCCATCATTTTATATGAGAGGTTCCAAGTTTTATCTTAAAATTTATATTATACTTTCAACCAGTGGTTATATATGTCTATATTATGTTTTATATCAATCTATTAAATTTCTATCACAGAATTATCTAGTCTATTATATTACCATGTCTTTTTGTCCAACCATTGATAAAACAAATCCCATATCACATAAAATCATTCATCTTCTTGTTCTCTAATTTCAAATGTCAATTTACTCATTTCAGCACAGTCCATAATTTTCTTAATAACTTCCTCCTGCATAGATATTTTATCATTTTTCCAATTCTTAGCAAATACAATCCTAGCCACTATTAATACATTTACAATCAAATATTTCAACTCTTTGTTGTATATTTCCGGTATAATCCCCAATAAAAAGATATCTGGTTTAAAGTCTATATGTTTTATCATTTTTTCCAACTATGTGTGGATTTTAGTCCAATATTTCTTTGCGTCTGAGCATGTCCACCACATATGGTAATATGAACGAGGTATCTGATGACATTTCCAACATTTATCCGATTTGTTCTTGAACACTCTCGCAAGTCTCGTTGGGGGAAGATGCCACCTGTAAAACATCTTATACAGATTTTCTTTACATGCAGCTGACATTGTCATTTTATAATTTTGAGACCACAATTTTTGCCATTTTTCTAAATCAATCCCATATCCAAAAATTTTCCCCCAAGCAATTATCATTTCTTTAACTTGTTCCTCCTCCAATTTAAATTCTAGTAAGTGTCCATAAAGTTTTTTAATTACCTTTTCATCAGTACCCATCAAAATTTTATCCAAATCAGTCAACTTATCATAAATACCTTCTGCTTTAACATCTTTATCAAATCTGGATTGTATTTGCAAATATGAAAACCAGTTCATTTTTACACCTTGTACACCTTCTTCCAACACTTGCAAAGATTTAAGTTCACTCTTTTCATTCAATATCTCACCATATCTAGCTGTTTGTACCTTTTTATATATTATTGGATAAGAAAAAGCTTCAATGGTGGATATCCATAATGGAATTTTTAAATAGTATTGTCTTTTTATCATCTTCCAATTCAAAAACAATGCCTCTCGAATATAATGTCTTCTAAAATACCTCTATTTTAGTTCCCTTATACCAAAGGAAGGCATGCCATCCCAACAGCAAGCCATGCCCTTCTAAGGTCAATAGTCTATTGTTCCTTAATATTATCCATTCCTTTACCCACATCAAATTTGTTGCTTGGTAATACAACTCCCAGTTAGGCAAGGCAAACCTTCCTCTTATTCTTGCATCTTGTAACAATTTTAATTTTATTCTTGCTTTTTTGCTCTGCCATATATATTTCAACACAATTCTATTTAAATCTTCAAAAAACTCCCTAGTTGGATTGGAATTGTCTGGAATAAATATAAAATTCTAGGCAATACATTCATCTTAATAGTAAATATTCTCCCAATCAATGATAATTGTAAGTTTCTCCATTTTGTCAAGTCAGTCGCAATCTGCTGTGTAAGTTTAAGATACACTGCTCAAAAAAATAAAGGGAACACAAAAATAAGACATCCTAGATCTGAATGAATGAAATATTCTTATGAAATATTTTGTTCATTACATAGTTGAATGTGCTGATAACAAAATCACACAAAAATTATCAATGGGAATCAAATTTAGCAACCCATGGAGGTCTGGATTTGGAATTACACTCAAAATTAAAGTGGAAAAAAACACTACAGGCTGATCCAACTTTGATGTAATGTCCTTAAAACAAGTCAAAATGAGGCTCAGTAGTGTGTGTGGCCTCCAAATGCCTGTATGACCTCCCTACAATGCCTGGGCATGCTCCTGATGAGGTGGTGGATGGTCTCCTGAGGGATCTCCTCCCACACCTGGACTAAAGCATCCCCCAACTCCTGGACAGTCTGTGGTGCAATGTGGCGTTGGGGGATGGAGCGAGACATGATGTCCCAGATGTGCTCAATTGGATTCAGGTCTGGGGAACGGGTGGGCCAGTCCATAGCATCAGTGCCTTCGTCTTGCAGGAACTGCTGACACACTCCAGCCACATGAGGTCTAGCGTTGTCTTGCATTAGGAGGAACCCAGGGCCAACCGCACCAGCATATGGTCTCACAAGGGGTCTGAGGATCTCATCTCGGTACCTAATGACAGTCATGCTACCTCTGGCGAACACCTGAAGGGCTGTGCGGCCCCCTAAAGAAATGCCACCCCACACCATTACTGACCCACTGCCAAACCGGTCATGCTGGAGGATGTTGCAGGCAGCATAACGTTCTCCACGGCATCTCCAGACCCTGTCACATCTGCCACATGTGGTCAGTGTGAACCTGCTTTCATCTGTGAAGAGCACAGGGCGCCAGTGGCAAATTTGCCAATCTTGGTGTTCTCTGGCAAATGCCAAACATCCTGCACGGTGTTGGGTTGTAAGCACAACCCCCACCTGTGGACGTCGGACCCTCATACCACCCGCATGGAGTCTATTTCTGACCGTTTGAGTAGCCACATGCTCATTTGTGGCCCGCTGGAGGTCATTTTGCAGGGCTCTGGCAGTGCTCCTCCTGTCCCTCCTTGCACAAAGGTGGAGGTAGCGCACCTGATGCTGGGTCGTTGCCCTCCTATGGCCTCCTCGACATCTCCTGCTGTACTGGCCTGTCTCCTGGTAGCGCTTCCATGCTCTGGACACTATGCTGACAGACAGCAAACCTTCTTGCTACAGCTCGCATTGATGCGCCATCCTGGATGAGCTGTACTACCTGAGCCACTTGTGTGGGTTGTAAACTCCGTCTCATGCTACCACTAGAGTAAAAGCACCGCCAGCATTCAAAAGTGACCAAACCATCAGCCAGAAAGCGTAGGAACTGAGAAGTGGTCTGTGGTCACCACCTGCAGAACCACTCCTTTATTGGGGATGTCTTGCTAACTGCCTATGCTTTCCACCTGTTGTCTATTCCATTTGCACAACAGCATGTGAAATAGATTGTCAATCAGTGTTGCTACCTAAGTGGACAGTTTGATTTCACAGAAGTGTGATTGACTTGGAGTTACATTGTGTTGTTTAAGTGTTCCCCTTTTTTTTTTTTTTTGAGCAGTGTAATTATCCTCCTTCAGTGTACTACATCTTGGTGTAATGTATATCCCTAAATACTTAACCTTGTTTGTGACCTGTATTTCTAAAACTTCTTACAACTCTTTCTTTCATCTTACTAACATAATCTTTGTTAATATCTTTGTTTTACCTTTGTTTATTTTCAAACCTGCTACGTTTCCATATTCTTCTATTTTTTTCTATTAATTTAGGTGCTGTTTCCAGTGGGTCTTCTAATATAAATACCAGGTCATCTGCAAAAGCTTGCAATTTATACTCTTCCTTTTGGATTTTCATTCCTTTTATTTCTTTATCTTCTCTAATGTTCCTATTCAACTCTTCCAATCTTAACACAAACAGCAGAGGCGACAGCGGACAGCCTTGCCTTGTCCCTTTTCTTATATCTATAGATTCTGTTAGTTCTCCATTTACCATAACTTTTGCCGTTTGTTCATTGTATATCATTTCAATGGCTTGAATGAATTTTTTACCATTTGTTCCAATTGCAATAACACAAATTGCCAGCTCACATTGTCAAAGGCTTTTTGTGGGTCTAAAAACATCAAAGCCATTTGCTTCTCGGGATGCGCCTCATAATATTCCAGAGTATCCAAAATAATTCTCACATTGTCCTTTATTTGTCTCTTTGGCAGGAATCCATTTTGGTCAATATGGATAAAGTTATTTAAGTATCTTTTGAGTCTTTCTGCCAAAATTGAAGCAAAAATGTTATAGTCTGAATTTAGTAGGGATATAGGTCTATAATTTTTCACTTGCTGCAGGTCCATATCCTCCTTCGATATAAGTGTAATATATGCTTCTGTCCAGGTTTTGGGTATTCTTTTCTTTAACATAACTTCGTTCATAACTTCTAATAGATGAAGATGCAGTATTTCCTGAAAAGTCTTGTAAAATTCTGCTGGTAAGCTATCTGGACCTGGTGCTTTTTCAATATTCTGTTTTTTTAAAGCTTCTGTTAATTCTATCATTGTTATATTCCCTTCTAGCATTGTTTCAGTATCTTTAGGTATCTGAGGTAAATTCGCTTTCTGTAAACATTGCTTAACTTTTTCTTCTTGAATATTCTCTTGAAAATACAATTTTCCATTGTAATCTTGTATAATATTTTTCTACTCCTCATTTCCATAGCATGTATGTCCTTCATTTATTAGTTGGCTACTCCTTCTTGATTCTCTCTCCTTATTCTGTTCTATTCTATTAAATGATTACATACATTGAAATAAACCTGAATGAACTCAGAATCATGAGGCAGCTAATTACTCGTATCATGGATTCATGTGAAGCCATCATCAAATTAAATCCACCTGTATCTAAAAATCCATTACAATTACTCATCTAAAACCGTTTGGCTCCTACATGTGTGTTTTTACAGGCACCTGATATGAGATCTTAAGTCAAAATGCAAATCATATCCATATGCTCAGGATGAGGACAATTATGAATCTCATGCTTTGTGGAATTTTTACGTGGGCTGAGTCTAGATGAAATCATTCTCAAAACATACCTATCTGCAAATTTAAGTTCTAGCAATCACAAACCTGTTTGTGTAGTGTGTGCTGATTGAAGAATTGTTTTATAGAATAAAAATATTAACATTGTTCTTTTTATTTAAGTCTTTCCATTTACGTGTTCTCTCTATTTAATATTTTACAGATTTGTAGAAACTTCATTAAGAAACTATCAGTGTGATGTGCCAGAACTGAATGATGATGAATAACAATAGTTCTGAGATACTGCATTCCGCCTACCTTGCTGTAGAATACATTGACTCCTTGCTGCCTGAGAATCCACTACAGGAACCATTTAAAAATGCTTGGACCTATATGCTGGACAATTACACTAAATACCAGATTGCAGTTTGGGGTTCACTTCTCGCTCACGAATTTTTCTTTTTTTTAATATGCTTACCTGGATTTGTATTTCAGTTTATACCTTATATGCAAAAATATAAAATACAACAGGTAAGATGGAACTTTAACAATGAAATAAGGGAGCCATGTTAATCTATAGTGCTAAAACATTAGGAGGAGTTTGGTAGTACTTTACTTAGTTAAGAATTGTTATTAAAATGTATAAATGTTTACAATCTGCAATTCACTTCATCAGACTAACGTAGGATTTAAACTGGAATGAGATGGGAGTAAGAAGGGCAAGACCATTGCTAAGGCAAATGTAGTTTATGAATAAGATAATTACTATTATGTTGTATTATGTTAAAAACATTGCATTTGTTGAGATGTTCTGAGATTGCCAAAGCTTTTGAGAGATATATCCATCCATCCGAGTGACTTTGGGCCTGTCGCTCTCTCTCAACCCAACCATCTCACAGGTTGTGGAGAGAATAGGAGAAAGGAGTTTAAAGTATGTTTGCTGTCTTGAGCTAATTTTAAAAGGGGTGCTGGTAAAAATAAATAAATGACATGCAATTTTAGCAACGTCTCATTCAGTAGTGGGCTTAAAGTCCTGATTTTCCAAAATGGGCACTTTGAAATTTGATAGAATGTCCAAAATGATGGAAATCGTATCAATTTTTTTCTTATTTTGAATTCTGGTGTCAAATGTGTGTTCACTGATTTTTTTTGTGTGCAGTTTTTTCCATTTGTCCTGTGTAAACATCCGGGGGGGCATTCCTGATAGATGGTGGCATGAATCACATTAGAGAAATACGATGTGGAGGCACCACTAATTGTGTGTGTGTGTGTGTATTTCTTGTGGCTTGTGATGATGGAGCAAAACAGACGTGAGTTTATTGTAGGATCTGGTTCCATATTAGCGTTTTTTTTACTGATTCTGTTGATTGGAGAATTGGTTTAGGTTGGGTAGTTGTATGCAAGTATGGGCCTGCCACCCAAGAAGTGCTTGAGATAATGCAGTGTCTTTGTCTAGTATGGGCTGTAGCTTAATAGTAGTTTGAACTGTGAGCTGCAACTAAATAGCGTTATGCTGTTCTATTTCTGATGCCTGTGTTTCACTAGGTGCTTCCCAGGAATTGATCTGGCCCAATTCTTCTATTCATCTGGTTCTATGGATAGTTACCAGTTAAGCATTTTTGTTAAGTGGATCAGAACAAATGTGGTTTTGTGTAGAGCCTGGCTATACATGTGCTCTGACTCAAACTCTTTTCCAATAAAACAAACACGAACCAAAGGAAACAGAAACCTTTTAATGATTCTTACGAATCCCCAGTTAAAAGGCTGCTGCAAACTAACTTTGATAAGCACAAGCCTTGTCAAAACTGTGTGAGGCTGCCAAGAATAACAGATAAGAAATATTTTACAACACAAGAATCTTCAAATACCAACTTAAGATACTGCAACGTCCACAAGGCTCGAGTTTCAAAACGTCTATACTTCCTACAAAGAACTTCTCTTCGCAGCTGGCTTTTATCTTCTTGAGGGGGAGGCATTGCCTTGCACCCTTGTTCCCAAGTCGCCTGTACTGCTGCAACTGCTCTTTCTTGCGGACAACCCTGCGCACATGCACACTTGGCTCAGGCTCCTTGGGAATCTCCCCATCGCTGCTGCCAGGCCCCAAAATCTCTGAATGCAGCAGTCCATTCCCTAATGGTCCTGGCCCCTCATCTGAGTCCTCATTCTCCTCAGCCGTCTGCATCTGCTGCCGGCTAACCACAACCACACGATAGATTTGGAAGCATGTTGGCATTCATGGGATTCTATACATTTCTCGTGTTGTATTGTGTAGGTTTGTTATCTTCTTGTGGCAACATTCTGGTGTAGTTGAAGTTCTAGGAGAGAGATGACATTAATAATTAACTTTTTGTAGTAAAAAATGCGGATTTGGGGTAAAGGGCAAGGAGAAAATTGTATAACCTAAAACCTTTTCACATATGAGGCATTGCCACGAAGGAGAAAAGTCCAGAACATGTTGTGATATATGTTTTATTATGATGTTGGCATCATTGTAGTTGGGAAGAGAGTCTGTGGAAAAGATGTAGTTAGTTTCCTATATGCACAATTTAATTATTTTTTGTTTACTTGATGCTGTTATAGGAAAGACCAGAAACATGGGAAGGACAATGGAAATGTTTCAAAACACTTATGTTCAATCACTTTTGTATTCAGCTGCCTCTCATAATGGGTACCCATTATTTCACTGAATATTTTAATATTCCTTTTGACTGGGAAACGATGCCAAGATGGTAAGCACTATTCAATTATTTTTCATTAGTTGTTTGTTAAAAATACATATTTCCACTCATTAGTATTATGCTAATAAAGGACTGTTCTTGCGAGAAATTTCTAGAAGTTTGACCAAAAATATTTTTGAATCTGTGGTTCAGTAATTTCAAATTTATTTATATGAAAAGAGAGTGAAACCTTAATTTAGTTGCAAGGAGGCGGTGTCTGTTATTCCTAATTGGCTGTTAATCTCTGTACATTCTCCAAATTTTACCATTTATTTATTCTACAAAACAAATTCAAATATAATAGATAATGTCTGGATATCCTTTATTCCAGATGAAAATTGAAGCCTAAGAGTTATTTTACTTTAAATATAATATAAACTACATCATGTATAACTAATACTGTCTTTCTCAAACAACAATTTATTTTGCTCTGCTCGTTGCTCCAAGAGAGAAAAGTATTTTATTAACATTTCTGTGTATGTTATGACAGGTTTCTAGCATGGGTCATTGGATAAATTGCACAAATATATATCTCAAAAGCTCATTTTCTTTTAAAGGTTTGTGATACTTGCTCAGTGTTTTGGGTGTGCTGTGATTGAAGATACCTGGCATTATTTCCTGCATCGACTACTTCATCATAAGAGAATATATAAATACATCCACAAAATGCATCATGAATTTCTAGTATGTAATTTCTTAAATTTTTGGCTCACATGGTTAAGCTCTATATGCACTTACCAATAAGAATATTTCATGCAACTCACTGGAACTTGTTACTGTATATGATTGCAGCCTTAAAATGTTATGCAATGGACATGTGTTAGTTATTATTTTAGAAATGGAGAAGAAACAAGCAGGTTTATTATTTTATCTATATGGTTTCTTTTCTGTTCTTATTGTATGAGGCCAGAAAGTTGAAGTGTTTTAAACATTGCAGTAAACCAACAATATTTTTTTGTAAAATATTTATACATTTGTCAACTTTATTTGAATAACTAATTTTGGTTTCTAAAATAATAAAAAAATTAGTTTCAAACAACGTCTTTCGCACGATCTTTTTAAAATGTTGAGGAAAACTTTACTGAATACATAAGTTTACTGATCTATAGAATCATATTTGTGTGTTTTTAAATTGGGGGAATCAATATCACAGTGGCATTACATGACTTATTGGGACTTTTTACCCCTTTGCTAAATCAGGTGTGGGCATGGCCAGTGTGTGATGCCTCCGGCCCATGGTCTGGGAGTTTGACAGCCCTACTTTAAATCATACAATATTCACAGTTGTATAGCACCTACTGTTTTAAGGTTCTGTCTGGAATTAGCAGTAGCAAATATTCTTACATTTAGAAATGTATTCAATTTGTTTAGTCTTACACTTCCTGAAAATGTGGAGTTCAAGGTTAGCACGTGAAGGAAGAAAATCTGAAACAATATAGTCATGTTGAAGCATATATATGAAATGTTTTCTTCAGCAGGGATACAGGTGCACAAACCTTTTCTTTATACTTTTCTTCAGGCACCATTTGGGATGCAAGCTGAATATGCACATCCTTTAGAAACTATAATCCTTGGAACTGGATTCTTCATTGGAATAATTGTCTTCTGTAATCACGTAATTTTGCTATATGCATGGTTAGTTTGTCGTTTGATAGAGACCATTGATGTTCACAGGTAATCTTTTGTTTATGATTCTTTGTATTCAGATTCAGAAAATTTAAAATTACTTAAACATAACTATTTGAAAAAGTTGTCAATAACTTCTCCGTGACAAGCTTATAAATTCTCCAGATATTGTTTGGGCAAAGATATTTTCATTAGTTAAATAGAATATTGAACAGATGAAAGAAAGAAAAAATCCGAAGAATAAGAAAACCAAAGAATCTTTCATCAAGAGATATCAACTAGAAACAAGGAAGGATTAAAAAACACTGGAAATAATAAAGTATCAAGTAATAGCTATAGCCAAGAAGATCGGCAAATATGAAGCTCAAATTGCACACTATAGGCAGAATCTCCACTATCAGTCAAATCAGAAATGTTTCTACAATTCATCTATGGAGTGACTGTTGTGAACCCATCAATACCAAGAAACAGTGTAATTCTTGATGTACCTATGGGACAACATCAAATAGAACTTTTTATTGGCCAAGTGTGTTTGGACGTACAAGGAATTTGCCTCCAGTACATGAGCTCTCTGTGTACACATATAAACAACAACGTGACAAGTCATAGATTATAAATCATAAGATACAAATAATAAATAATAAGATGCCAATGGGAGAAAGTGGTATGAAATATGCTATATTTTGTACATAAAGAAATATAAGAATGCAGCCTGGATAAAGAAAGTGGATTAGAATAAAACATAAGTTGAAATGAAAGAATTTGTAATAAAAACAGAAAAGGACAAGAAAAATTAAGTGTCTAGAAATAACAGATATTAGTACAAACACCAGATGTTTTGTGTAAAGCCGCACAATGGATGACATAATTGCTGGTCAGTGGTGATAAGACTGGAAGAGGTTACTCCCCAAAGAAATTTCAAGGAGATTCACTATTGCCACTACTGTTTGTCATTGTCAACAGTACTGAATAAATCAAGTCATGGCTATCCAACATCAAAAACACCCGCTAGGCTCTCCTATTTACATAGATGAACTCAAACTTCATGGAAAAACACCATCTGAAATAGAATTGCTTCTCAAGACTCTCCATATATACACCCAAGATATTGCAATGGAATTTGAACTGGATAAACGTCCCAACTTCACAGGGGAAAAATAGCAAAAACTGAAGGAATCGAGATGCTCTATGGAAATACCATCAAGAGTCTGGAGGAAGACAATTACTACAAATACTTGGGCATCCTTCAAGCTGACAACATCAAGCACTTTGATGTCAAGAAAAAGGTTAGAACTGAATATACGATGAGAGTGAAGACAATCTTAAAGTCCAAACTCAGTGGAGGAAATACTACCAAGGCAGTTAATGCCTAGGTGATTCCACTTATTAGATACACAGCTGGAATAGCGTACTGGGCTGAAGCAGAACTAAAAGCCTTAGATAGGAGGACCAGAAAAACAATGACAATAATTCCCTTTATTCAAACAGCAATGTTGGCAGACTCTACATACCAAGGAAAATAGGTAGATCTAGAATGTTGCAAGACAGTTGAAAAAGAATAAAGGGCATTGGAAGTATATCTGAACAGTGAAGAAGATGCATTGAAGCTAGTATACCATGAAAGCTTACTAAGTATTGGAGAGACCTGGCCATAACTAAGAGCAGGAAAGTTGAAGAAAGAAACAGGGACACTAATTCTGGCTGCAGAAGACCTAACCTTAAGAAGAATAGCAGTAGCACTTAGATTTATATACTGCTTCAGAGAGCTTTACAGCCCTCTAAGCAGTTTACAGAGTCAGCATATTGCCCCCAGCAATTGGGTCTTCAATGCATAGAAAGCAGGAATTGAGAAGACACTAACAGTCAGCAAATGCTGCCTCTGCTGTAGAAACAATGGGTCACCTAGTTTGCTGCAGAAAGATTGCACAAACTGATCACAAGTAATAGCATGACAAAATAGCAACAAGGGCGGATTGGAAGGTCTGCAAGAAATAACTATTTGCATGCAGGCAAGAACTGGTGAGGCCACAAAATAGAAAAAAAAATAACATATAATGAAGAAGCTAAATTGCTCTAGAACTTTAGAATTCAAACAGATGGGCACCTGCCATATAACTCCCCAAACTTAACAATTGTTGGTAAGAAAGACAAAAAGGCTCAATGGTGATCGTGACAGTACCTGGAGATATCAGAATTAAAGGACTGTGGCAAAAGAAAGCAAAGGTAGTACCAATAGTAATGGGTCCCTTGGGCGCAATCCCAAAGCATCTGGACCACCAGGGTTTGGCATGACCAAACAACCAATTGCAAAAGGCGACTTTAGTTTAGAACGTCTTGTGATCTTTCACAACTCCCATTATGAGATTTCACAACTACAGATCTGTATCGGGCTTGGAAAGTTGCCAGGCCGATATCTTCCAAACACCATACTGTAGCAACAATTACTTGGCACGAGGTCAGGAACAGATCTTCACCCTAATGAATTGAACTAATCATCTCCTGCAACATCACTTCCCCTCCGCTCCTTTTTACTCCCTATGGGGGGGGGGGGTGCATTCACCATCCACCGGATCCTTTTACTCCTTGTTCCTTAACTGCTCCCTTCTCCTGACAGCTCTGTGCATGCGCACACTGGGAATAGGCTCCAGCTGTTCTTCTGCCCCACTGATTTCCATCTCTGAAGGCAGCTGATAACTGTCAAACGACCCTGGCCCTGTCTCTGCCTCCAATGCAGGGCACTCATCACAGCCTTTCTCAGACCCTAGGCCTGGCCCATGTTCCTCCCCAACCTCCTCACTGTCCGAGTCTGTCACCAGCCCTGCTGGCCAGAACATTTATATGCCACTGACTCAGCAAATCTGGACAGTTTACAATTTCTCCTGCCCAGAAGGTAACCAGGACATTGGGGGACAGCTGGAGCTAATAAAAGGGACCCCTACTCATTATCTGACTGAGTTGCCTTTGTGCCACGCCCTGGGTCATCACAGTTGTGTATGTTGTTTGTGGAATACAATCACCATGTAGAAACTTGTAATAGTACGTTACTTATCTCTTCCTAGGGTTGAGAAGTTTTTATTATATTTTTCGGCGAGTTATAAGTGTGACAGTCTGAATAGACACATAGTTTTTTTCTGGAATATATACAGTATATGAACCCCAGTGGGAATTATTTCCAAATAGATACAGGATCCCATTTCAAACCTTTAGCACTGAGCAAGTTGTACATGAAATGTGAGAAATGGCTTCATATTATTTAAATGTGCATTCCATTCTTTTTCCTTTCAGTGGCTACGATATTCCTCTGAATCCTTTACATTTTCTGCCCTTTTATGCTGGGTCTCGCTATCATGACTTTCATCATATGAACTTCTCTGGCAATTACGCTTCAACTTTCACGTGGTGGGATAAACTTTTTGCTACTGATTCACAGTACAATTCTTACAAAGAGAAGATGAAGCAACAGAAAGACACAGTGGAAAAGAAGATGGAATAAATTTCCCATTTGCAACACTTTTTGGAGCATCAAAGAGGACCTCTTATTTTTGCTTAAAACTAGAAAACTTAACAAGTATTGCAATTCAGAGCAAAATGCAGCTTTTAACAAACAAACCAAGTTTAGGTTTGCAGCAGGAAAAACATTCTCTGATGCATTTTCCAAATGATTGTACTTTTTCTATTCCATAGATAAGTCAAACAAATACAGTATATATATTTAAGAAAATGTTAACTATGATCAAATGATTGGATTTATGTAAAAAAAGGATACATTAAAATTAAAACACGGGAGGTTTTTTTGCATAAATGTGAATCCTAAAGTTTAGAAAGAACTCTACATTGAGTTCACCAATTAAAACTTTTGTGGGAATTCTCTTTCCCAAATGGGTACAAAAAATGTAGATTTAAGAAAACAAGGAATCTTTTTACTCGGTTTTTAATGGATGTTATTGTAATCTGCATTACACATAACTAAATTGCTGATTTGATTATTAATATAATTCGTCTTAAAATAGCTGTGATTTATTTTTATTTTTTTGTCATGTTTTCTGTACAGCAAATAAAATATTGGGGTTCAAGCTATTATTCCCTGGTTTCTTTTATGAAAATTCCTTTCCTTATAAAAGGAATTTTCTGGTTCCTTTTGGCTTGTTCCTATCAAACAAAACCAAAACGAATGATTTCATACTAATTTTTATGGGTGTTTATTCTTAAACTTGGATCATCTATAGTTGAAAATGTAGAAGCCTTCTTAAAAGCTGCATGGATTGCAAAAGTGCTATGTTTGTAACAACCATTTTACTTCCTGTTAATACACAATGGTAGGTATTGATAATTAGAACAGAATGTATATGGCGACTGAAATTTGATAGTTGAAGACCTTAGATAACTAACCATCTATTATATACAGTCAAAACTATCCCTAGATATGTACATGAGGGAACCATGGGAACTTTCCTTAGATTACATTGAATACTTCTTGGCCTTCCTGACTTACTATGGAAAACACTAAATTATATAACCGGCTTAATGGGGATTCTGTAAAGCCATAGACTTCCTTTTCTTAAAGACATCTACATCTGCTGCAGAGATTGGGTGGGGTGTAACTGTATGGTTGGAGGGCACTGAACAGTGTTGTTGGGCCAGCATTTTCCACTTCTGATGGCCCCTCCAAAAGCAATGCTTGTTCTTTTTCTCTCTTTTTTACTTGAATGTAATTAAAATGATTTGTAGTTTAATATATGGAAAAAGGTGCTGGGAAAAGCATTTTATTTACACAAATGACGTGAAGGAAAAAGAAATGTAAATCTGAATATTTTGAATACAAAAGAATTGGCTGAGGTAAGTGCATTTTCTTGCAAGCGTCGTTTATGTTTACAGAAGTTTTCTCCACAAGATGGCCTTATCTCTTCCTCCCCCTCCCACCATATCTTTAGGCTTTGTTTTCTTTAATTTAGGAGAAGCAGCCCAATTTACTCCACTGAGTTGAATCCTCTGGGCCACTAGAGGTAGTCCTCGACTTACAACAGTTCATTTAGTGACCATTCAAAGTTACAATGGTACTGAAGGAAGTGACTTAGGAGCAATTTTCACACGACTGGCAGCATCACCATGGTCATGTGATCAAAATTCAGACACTTGGCAGCTGACCCGTATTTATGATGCAGTGTCAGGGGTCACATGATCAGCTTTTGTGACCACTTGACAAAATCAATGGGGAAGCCAGATTCATATAACAACTGTCACTAATTTCCCAACTGTAGTGATTCACTTAACACCAAGCAAGAAAAGTGGTGAGCTGCGGCAAAAGTCACTTAGCAAATGTCTCACTTAGCAACAGATGTTTGTCTCAATTGTGGTCAGAAGTCGGGGACTACCTGTATAGGACAAACATGTAATACTGGTGTTGAGGCATCAGATTAAAGAGATTGGTGTAAACTCTCCCACAGAAACTAAATTCTTATGGCATTTCTGGATTTTTGCACAAGTGGATTGCTGCCTCCTTGCCTAACAGACTGCAGAAGGTCAAAATAGAAAACTCGCTGCTTGATCCTGCATCAGTTAACAGTGATGTTCGGCAAGGCAGCTTTTCCTGTTCTAGATCAATGATTTGTGTGATCAACTTAAAAGCAATTGTGTCCTTTTTGCCGATGATGTAAAATTATTCAATACTACCGATAGTTCTGTACTTTCGCAAAGTGATCTTGATTATGTGTCGGAGTTGTCATCTATTTCAGGGGTCGCCAATCTTTTGGACCTCAGGGACCATCGAACTCAATTTTAAATCCCGCGGACCAGAGACCCTGGGAAAATCCTCCAAAAAGTCTTCAGGAAAATTCCCCACCCCGTTTTCCTACCGATCTATCATTCTTTTTTTAGGATCATAGGATATAATTTACTGGGAATTACCTTAAGATTACTAGATAAGAACCCCTTGTTAACTTTCTAAGCAGTTCAGAGAACCAGTAGTTAGAAGCAATCTCTTTTTGTTTTTTTCACCCTTATTACATTCTTGCCAATACGCCTAGACTTCCTGTCTCCGGAGCTTCTGGGGCTTGACTTTCTTAAAGGGGAAGAGTTGTTTTAAGATTTTTACACTGCTGTTGGGAGGAAATACTCCCCTGGACAATCAGCACTTTGAAGAAATAATTGAATAATGAAGCAAAGCTTTTAATGACAGGGAACCAAGATGAGTGACATTCAGCAAGGCTTCTTGGCTAGCTAGAAAGATCGACATTCAAATGTGAGTTTACATACCCTTTCTGAGTTTTGGTCTAAAACTGGTTTTTGGTGAAGGTTAATTCTGTGCTTGGTGATGTTTAATCCTGTGTTTATTGACGGGGTAATTTTCCCTATTCAGTTTCAACAAGCAACAGCTACTGTTGTGATTTAATTATTTGTATTGTGCTTGAATTTTTTCCTGCCTCGTGGTTTCTTTTTCTATCTGGGGGGGTGGGGGGGTCTTCCTTCACTGCTTTAGTACTATCTGGCACTATCCTTTTGGGGTATACTTCCATGAGGCAGGATGCAAGCTTAACACTGATTTTTTTTTACTGCAGTGTGCTGCACCCTCTACAGGATCTCTATTGCTATTATATCTCAATCTTTTTTTTTTTTTTTGGTTAGACAAGGCATAGTCATAAGAATAGTTAGTAATAGGATTATAATCAGTAGAAAAGTATCCTTGCAGTTGTTTATACAGGGCATATACTTGTCCCTGAGGCAACGTAGAAGCAGTGTTGGGGTGAAAAGCTGCAAAGGGAAGGGAGATATTAAACAAAGCATCACCCACTAATTAAAATAGCACAAATGATGACTACACAGCGTCGAATATTTCCCATTAAGCCTGTGGGTAACAGCTCAAAAGCTTTCCCATCCTTGCAGTAGCCAAACGCGGGCAAAGTTAAAGGAAGTCTCTTCAAAAGCTGTGCAGTTCAAAGCAGGTGAGCTAATGCGATGACAGGGAGGTCTTTTACTTGAAGATGTGCAATTAACTACTTTTTCACAGGTTATTTTTGCAGGGATTGCTACCACTGGGGTGTGCAAAGCAATAGCATCGGGGTGGATAATAGGCAGCAAATCCCCAATTATATAGTCTCATAGTCTCATAGTCTCAGCTCCCATTTAATAAAAATCCGCTTAAGCCAGTGAAGTTTTGAATTACTGCAGAAGGAGGTTTTGCTTCATTCATTGCTCAAGCAAGTGTTTGGTTGGGATAACAGCCGCTGTTGCCAAAGGAGAGTTGTAAACAATCAAGCATAAACAAATGAGCCCAGATTGGACGCTGTGTCATCTGTAGAGTCATTTTTCGGGGACCGGATCCAGGGACGGATCACGCAGAAACAATGTTCTGGAATCTACAAAGGTCCTATAGGAGCAAGCATAGCAGCACAGCCTCACCCCCAAGTAGTTAAATTTTGAGTAGAAACATTCAATTGACTTAATGTAAATAATACTTTTTTAACCGGTTGTGGTACCCACGACAAATTAGGGAGCCGAGAATATCCCTCCTTTTTTATTTGTTTGTGGAGGCAGTCCTTGAAGACGATGAGGAATAGGCCGGTCCATTATCAGTTTTTCAAGAAGAGGGCTGTAATTTTCAAGGCTGTAATGGCTGAAAAAAGATGAGAAATAACATGATTAGCTGTTTCTCCTTGTTGAGGTGTGGCCCAAATTACTCCTGAATAGGTTTCAATAGATAAATGAATATATTTCCCAGGAGCCAAAGAGGGAACATGGGTAACAACATCCATTGGCCAAAGTTGATGATGAAACAATCTGCTTGGCTTGATCAAGTGGAATATGGCAAGCATGTGCCAGCCCCCTAGAGTTTTGATGGAAAAAAGAGTGACAAAAAAATCTGGAAACAAAGTAGGTAAAATACGAACAGCAGCGTCAGCATCACTATTGCCTTCAGAAAGAGGTCCAGAAAGGGGGGAGTGACTCCTTATTTGAGACACATAGTAGAACTGCTTTTGATCCTGTAGCAGTTGCTGCAAGGTTAAAAACAAGGCCATGAGATTAGGATCAATCCTGGGCGTGATATAAACACCCGGAAGATTAAAAATATGTTGACACACATAATGAAAGTCAGAGATTAAATTGAAAGGTTGTTGAGATTAAAAGTTAAAATTTCAGGAGATAATTCTGAACTTTGAGCTGAGGACTGCACTGCAGTGTAGGACACCTTCCAGGTATCATCATCCTTGTAAGCAATCGCTCCTCTTGTTCACCCACCATCTGAAAAAAAAAAGTAGGAGCTTGTGGCAATGGAGAAGGAGAAAGGAAGTGGATGGACAGGAAAGGAAGAAGTCATTAAGCAAGCAAGCAAGCTGAGGGTCCTTAGGCAAATGATATGCAATACAGCCTACATAGTCAGTTAAAGCATATAGAAGAGATAAGTTATTCTGAAAATAAAATTAAAAATCAGATCTACACAACTCCACCATTTACACTTTACTGTACTTATCAAAAATTACAAAGAAAAGTTATTTGCAAAGCCCATGGTATACCTTTTGTGATTTTACCTGTTGTGCTGGTTATAGTTATGCATTCTTCACATTCTTGTTGTAAGCCCTCCTGATGGAGTCAAACTTTAGTGTCAATTCTCTGCTTTAATCAAAAGATGGATTAAGAGCATGTACAGAGTGCAGCTGGTTTGAATTTTGGATTCCCTTACTGCAAAGATAATGTTCTAGGCAAATTGCCCACCTGGGAACTGAGCCACCTTCAGAGATAAGGTTCTAGGCAAACTGCCCATCTCAGCCTAGCCATCTAAAGCTTCTTTGTTTGCAAAAGCGCTGAGAAAAATCATAAGATGAAATAGTATTTCTACCGCAATGACTTCTGGTGCAAACTATGCAACCTATAAAAGAAATCACTTTCCAGCCCTGCCTTACGCAAAGCAGAGAGAAAGAGGAAAAAAAAATTGTTAAAGTGAGCAAAAAGCCTCCCCTCCTCCTCCTGCTTTCACTTTTACAAGGTCAAAAGTTAACAACCAGCGAGGACAAGAGTGGGGGGGGGGAATGTTTAAAATACTACACAGAAATCTCACCCATGTTTTCCAACATTCTTTTCAACAAGATAATTCTCTGTCTCCAGTAAATCACACACAAAACATTCTCTCTCTTCAGTAAATCACATAATTTTCTCCATGGGACCTTTCTCATTTCCTTGCACATGCTATTTCTTACTCTCCTTTTAATCTGGAATGGGGGTCAACACACATTTATACCAACTTTTACCATCAACATGCTCACAAATTTGTACTGTAATCAGACTGCTTGCATACTTACAGTTCTTTTCTGGGAGCCAATAAGCTCCATTGTCTAAATAATTTTGTGTAATGTATTAGAAGGTCTCATCCTCCAGGGCTGGAAATGATTATACACAGACACATTCTCACACGCATTTCCAGACCTGGGAAGGTTTTGTCCCCTCAAAACTCCATGCTTTCTTCCTTTGGATAACCTGCAGTTTGTTTTCAGAGAAGTGGGATATCTCAAGGAGTGGTTCCAATCACAAATGTGATTGTGGCCCCTACCACTGTCTATCTGCCTCCCATAGCTCTAAGTCCAATTCAAAAAGCCAATTTAATTCTCTGGCTGGCCAAACATGTCACAATTATTTTATTTTGAACCGCAGCATGCCCAATTGAGGTATACACAGGTA